AACATAGTCGAGCAAGCAGCAACCAAAGGGAAGAATAAATTTCCAACGTGATCAAGTAATCTAGCGCCTAATAAAATGGATAAACTTAGCCCCAAGGTGGTCGTCACAACTGTTCCCAGAAGGAATGTGGGAAAGGACACTTTCCGCAGGCAATGGTTAATTTGTGCCACCAAAATGTGCAGCTGGTTGTAAATCTGTAATGCTAAGGTCACTTTTATCCTACGAAATTTTTCGTCCGACCTGAAATATGTGTAATTAAACTTTACCAGCGAACATTTTATGTAGATTGGTGATGATCTTATGGTCGCACTTCCGCTCCGCTGGACGGAAGTGCGACCAGTGAAAGAGAGAAAGTTTACAAAATATTAAAATGAAAAAAATTTCTTCTACTAGCAGTTTCTTCTACTAGCGAGGTGCTTCCGACACCTAGCGTGCGGAAGGGAGACCAGTGAAATAAAAGCTCCACCAGGAGAAAAAGTTTTCTCTCCGAGCAGCTGCTGCTACAAGGAGCTTGCTCATTAACTAATGTAAGCCATGCACGTTATTCACTACTACTAATATCAACTTAAATGCAACGTGCAATTTGCAAAGAAAATATTCACATTTGAGAGGAGATTATTTTAAAAATAAATACTTGCAAAAGTGTGTGTGTGTGTGTGTGTGTGTGTGTTTGTGTGATGAAGGGTCATACAGGATGGAGATTGATATCAATAAATTGTAACAACAGCACCAAAGATAGGATGATAAATGAAGGTTTTATTTTCTGGTAAGTGTGTAGGTTACATGAAATATATGTACATATGAAAATACGCATGTTTCATTGCAAAATATTTGCAAAATTAAGCTTGGTATGCTTAGTTCATTAATTATTTTAGATTTTAGTTATGATTTTCATTATTATTTTTTCTTTCTTTTCAAGTTACATATTCCGTCTTACTGCAACATTGTGTCTTACAGCGGAAAGTGAAAGTAACTCGACCAAGAGAGAAAAGTTTCTTCCACTAGTAGCTCCAACAAGGAGCTCGCCCACCAATAATGCAAGCATGTTCTTCAGGTACAGTTCAATATAGGAGACATTTTATGTAACAAATATTAACATTTTTGAGGACATTTATTTCAGTTATTAGATTAAATATTTGGATTAAGTTTGTGCGTGGTTTTATTTATTGAATCAAGGGTCGTGCAGGAAGGATGGTGAAATTTTAACATTAGCTGCGAAATATTTAAGTTTAAGTAAATTTTACTTAGTTTATATTGAATATAGTAAAAATTGCTCGTTTTTATTTTCCAGAGGAGCCATATCCTTTGGCTCCACGCCGAGAAGCAACAGGTGCTGTGGTGGTAATAATTTCATCAAACGTAGACTTCTTCAACGGTCCATTATGGAGTTTTATAATCAAGAACTGAGCAACACGATCCCCAAGTTCAACTTGATATGGAAGTTTCCCATGGTTGATTAGCATAACCCCCAAAGTTCCTTCAAAATCTTCATCGACCACGCCCCCCATGACGTCAATTTTATGCCGCAACGCTAACCCAGACCTTGGTTTAATCAAACCAACATGGCCCAACGGTAATTTAACTTGAATCCCAATATCCATAATATCATTTCCCCTGCTTTAAGTAACGCTCCGGATTGACAGTACAAATCATAACCAGCAGATTGAGGGTGCAACTTTGTTGGAAATTTACTTTCAAAGGTCTTCCTAATAAAGTGGACCGTTCTATAGTCATCTAGAAGGTTAATATTTATACATTTTTTATTTAAACTTCAATTGTTAGTCAAACTATTATAATTATCGACTTATTTTTATATATTTGAAATATGTAGGAAATCAACTACTACATTCAATCCATATAATGAGAGATACCATCAAAACGGGATACCAAAAATTGTCAGGTAAAAGAAAGCTTTCTTTGCTTGGAAAATCGAAGTCATAGCTACGTTACATGATTTAAAAATTTTAATTTTCTTTGGAGTGTTATAGGCAAGAAGTGAAAAAACTGTGTATGTCCCATTATATAATCGTTATTTGAAATAATTATAAGATCTTCCGAATTTTTATAGACGCCCTGATTAGAATCTACTTCCTCTGACCACCAACAACTTGTTCAGCTTAAGAGAGGTAAAGAAAAAATAGATTTCAGTTTAATTTTGAAAGGATTTATGGGATCCAGGTAGTATAATCAGGGTCGTGTCAATCTTTGTTGCAGGGTATTGCAAGCTGCAACAACGATTGAAAATATTTAAACGACAGGTTTGCCCTGTGGTTTGATTCTTTCTGATGCAGACATAAGCCTGCCCATTTTTTCTCCAAGTTTGGAGTTTTAGCCAAAACCCCTGACCTAGCTGGCCCTCCCAATGGACAATATTTTGTCCACTAGGATCGTCACTCCTTTCCCCTTCGGGAGCAAAATTAAGCGAAATAGGACCTTTGTAAGATGATGAAGGCACATATGCTTCATGCTCCGGAGCTGATGATGATGAGCTTGCAGGAGGAATCGTAGTACGAGCAACAGGAACAAGCGCCGATGAAGGAACAGGAACAGCAGAAGGCGGAACACTCTTGACTCGACCTCTCTTCTCCGCTGGGGACTTTTCTGCAATTAATAGAAATAAAAATTTAAAGCTTATGATTACAACAAATTTCCCTATTACATTTTAAAATAATTATTACATCTTACCCTTTTCAGCCATCTTCCTCTTGTTAGCGGCGGCAGCAGCCTTGACTGTCTTCTCTTCAGGACCAGTGTAGAACAAGCTTAACGGGTTTCGACGAGCGGCATCTAGCTCCTTCTTGGAAGCAGCGTCAACCTTCTTCGCATCAGCTGCATTCTCCCTTGCTTCCCGTCGTCGTTTCTGCTCCGTATATAAATCAACTTTTTTCAGTTTAACAACTGGCTCCAGTTTCTTTGATTTGGTTGCAGGTTCTTTGCGCTTTGACTTAGGCACTGCATACAAATCATCCACGAGGTTCAGCCCTGATAGTAGAAACAATTTACAATTAAATTAAAAATGAACAATAAGTATATGACCTAATAAATCAAATAAAATATCTTACGTTTTTGCGAATGTTCATTTGCAGGAACAAAATCAGGATCCTCCTCTGGCTCAGACGGAGAATCCTCGTCCTCTTCGTCTTCATCCTCCTCCTCATCAGTGAAAGGTCCGCTTGGTTCCTCCTCATCATCGTCTACGACGAATCCAGCGTCAAAGACTTCAGGTTGTCGACGGTGAGAAAGAAGAAAAGCTCGTGCGTCCTCAGACTCTCGACTTCCTGGCTTAGCCTCCTCTAAGATTTTTCGTGCTCTTGCCACTGCGTTTATCCCTGCTAAAATTTACGTAAATATTGGAATTTATTTAAGATTTCAAGTTTATATTTTATCAACATTTGAAAATTTTCCTAAAGCTTGTTTAGTTTCTTAAAATTATTTTATTTGTGTTTTAGGAAAACTTACCCATAGACATTTTGGAGTTTTTAAAGTTTTTATTTCTTCTTTGGAAATCCTTTGCACGTAATGTTGAAACATTGACTAACTTGCTCATTATTTTGCCAATTGTTTTTATAGTCTTAGTAATTTACAAAAAAAAAATTCCAAAATAAGTACATACCGTAAAAATGTAATAACTCCCTAGGGGTTACTAATTCAATTATTTACAAAATACGGTTAATAGTGGTAAGTGGTAATTAATATTTTTTACAGTATTGGAGTTGAAGTGATGGTATGTTTTATTATATGTAAACACATTCTTGGTATAAGATAATGACGTCACGCCGAGATATAAAAAAGATGTTGTTATACATATTTTCTCACAAGCATTTTTTAGAATACACACTTCTTGACTTGATTTTGGAAATTTTGGTAAGTTATTTTTTTATTTATTATTATTTTTAAATTTCCAAGTTTAAATTATACAATTAATTCTCAAAATTTGTTTTTTTTTTCTCCGTGCTTAGTGTATGAGTACTTCATTCGGAGCAACCTAATAATAGTTGAGAGATTTACATCACAAAGAAAATGGTGAGATCACTTAGACAAGAATGTGTATAAACTGTTGATAGTTACTGAGATGGTTGCTTTATTTTGGCAGGCTCCTCGTATTAAGACGACAACATTCCAATGCTTGAAATGTTTTAGGAGATTCTTAAATCGTCAGCATTTTGCGTCACATTTACTAAGGCACCGAGATGAAAACAAGAGAAAATTGTGTCAATATTGTACCATGTCATTCAGGTCGTCTAAATTGTTAGAAGTACATATGAATACTTATCATAGATGTGAATATTGTGACTTCTCAGCCAACATTTTTGATCTTATAGAGCACAATGAAGCTCATAAAAGAGGAGTTATAAAATCCATGAAATTTGATCAAAGAGGAAGAGGGCTACGACTGAATGCTTTCCCTTTCTCTGAAATTGAAGCCTTTAAAGGCTTTATGAAAACTTACAGATTTAGAAATACACATGAGGATAATAATATTATTTCTGTTAGAGATTTTTTTAATAGATTTAAGTTTAAAATTAATCAGATTCTATTTCACAATGTTTCAATTTATAATAGCATTAAGTTTCAAATAACGCTTTTGTGTAAATTTAAACGTATGCATCCAAGCGTGGATGAAGAAGAGGTAGAATTCATGGAAACAACAGAACAATATTTTAATTCTTCTCTTAAAAATTATCCTCAGTCCCCTCTACATTAATAGAATCTTTTGTGACATGGTTAATGAAATCGATAATAATGTGGAAATCTTCGAACGAAATGGCAGTGGTTGGATATTAGATGAAGTGAAAGGCTGTGATATACGAACAGCTCAGTTTGAAATATTAAAGGGTGGATGTTCGTGCATCATTCCCAGCCATCTGAAAAATAAGAATGCCATTGTGAATCCCGATATTAAGGAAAAATGATTGCTTTGCTTCAGCTTTTCTGATCTGCATGCATGGAGATTCAGTAGATAACAGGCATCGTGGAAGAATATCTCAATATGAAAAATTTAAAACTCACTACGATTTCTCTTCGTTAAAGTTTCCAGCATCGTTGAAAGATATCATAGCATTCGAAAAGCGGCACAAACATATTAAAATTGGTATTAATGTGTTTGGTATTGATCAAGAAGAGCAGCTTAACGTTTTACGCCTAACACCTCATGCAATAGCAGAACGCATAAAATCGTAAACATTCTATACATTCAGGATGCTTTTAAGCAACATGGCATTACATGTCTATCCTGAATTTTTCTCGCCTAATCAACAGACAGGGACATCATCGAAAATTTGTTTGCTTACAATTGTTTGAATACTTTCGGAGATGAAAAGCGTCTTGATTCACATCAGCAGTTGTGTTTTGAGTTTAAAACTCAAAAGGTTTCTGTTCCTTCAGTCGTTGATGGAAAAATTCCATTCTGCTCTTTTGAGAGTAAAAAACTTTGTGATGTATGGAGATTTTGAAGCAATGCTCACAGACGATAATACCAGTACGACCTCAATAGATAAACACAAAATTTCAGGATATAATCTTGCAGTAATTGGCCCAAATAAGAAACTGGTTCATATATCGAAATATCGTGGTTCAAATAGCATTGACAAATTTATAGATGAAGTGAATCTACACGCTAGCTTTTGCATACGAAGGAACAAAATCCATATCGCTATGAAACACTTTCTCTAGAGGAAAGAATATGATTTTTCTATGGCAGATTCCTGCCACATTTGTGAGCATGATTTTGATCACCAATCTATAAAGTTCGAGATCATGATCACAATACTGGATTATTTAGAGGAGCTGCTCATAGAGAATGTAATGCTTCGTATATTCAAAAAGTCAAAATCCCTGTACTTATGCATAATTTTAGAAATATGACTCTCACCTGCTGTTAAGTTCAGCAACGAAATTTGGTTCTGGGAATACGTTCGTTATCCCTCAAAACTCTGAAAAATTTATAGGCATTATTTTGTAATAAGTTCATGTTCATAGATTCTTTCATGCATCTGCCCAAATCTTTAGATACTCTTGTAAACAAACCTTCATGCAAAACCCGAAGGCTTTGATGACAAGTTTGGTATAATGATACAACATTTTTCAAAAAGAACGGGCTGTAAAACTCTCAAGGAAAGGTGTCTATCCATATTCTTATTTCAGTTCTTGGGATAAATTTAAGGAAACCAAATTTCCTGATATTTCAGAGTTTTATAACACCCCCACTTGTGAAGGGATTTCACAAGAGGATTATGATTTTGGTAAGTCAGTGTTTGAAACCGAATGCACTGACCTGGGTTCGTACCACGACATATATTTAACAACAGATGTACTTCTGTTGGCATGCGTTTTTGAAAGCTACAGGGATATGGCAATTTCTAACTTTAAGCTTGACCCTTGTCACTATTTTAGTCTCCCAGGCTTCAGCTGGGATGCTGCCCTTTCTGAGTACAAAAGTTAAGCTAGAACTTGTTACTGATCAAGACATGTACAATACTATAGAGTCTGGCATTAGAGGAGGAGTATCTATGATATCTCATAGATATTCTGAAGCTTACAACAAGTATATGGAAGATTATGAAGAAGGAGTCAAGGAAGACTCTTTTCTTCTTTATATTGATAAAAACAACTTGTACGGTGAGGCGCTTCCAGCAGCCTTTGCCTGTTTCTGATTTTCAATGGGAAAGTCAAGAGTTCATTGATAATTTAAGTATAGACGATATTTTGGCATGGGGTGATGAGGATGAAATCGGTAGAATTTTGGGTTGTCAATTTAGAATATCCCTGTGAGCTCCACCTGTTGAGCGAGCACAACGAATATTCACTAGCTCCGGAGAAAAATTACAATTTCCATGAATCAACTCTCGAAGCATCAGCGGGAGCTTTTAACTTCCTATAACATTAAATATTCAGAAAAGCAGAAAAAATTAGTTCCCCATTTAGGATCTAGAAAAATGTATCCAGTGCATTATAGAAATCTCAACTATTATTTGGAGAAGGGAATGGTATTAACAAAGATTCATAAGATAATTAAATTTGTTCAAAGGCCCTGGCTTAAAGATTTTGTAAACCTTTGTTGTGATTTACGACGAAACGCTACAAACAAATCTGAGCAAAACTTTTTCAAGCTAATAGTTAACGCAATTTTTGGACGTAGCATGATGAATGTTAGGAATCAGCAAAATGTATATATAGTTAATAGTATTGAAACAGCAAAATATTATTCCAGGCTTTCGAACTTCAGAAAATTTGAGATTCTTTCTCCAAACTTGGTACTTGTTTTCATGAGTAAACCTAGTATTGTATTGGATAAGCCAATATATACGGCGTTTTCGGTTTTAGATCTCAGCAAGTTGTTTATGCAGGTTTGGCATTATGACAAGATCAAAAAATGGTATGGAATTAAAGCCAGGTTCCTTTTTACAGATACGGACAGCTTAGCCTATCAAAATTAAAACCGCTGATCTTTATGCTGATTTAAGACTGGTGAAAAATGATTTTGACTTTAGTGATTTTGGCCACACTCATCCACTTTATTCTACAGAAAATAAAAAAGTGATTGGTAAAATGAAGGACGAGAGTAACGGAAAAATCATGTATAGTTTTGTGGGTGTTTCTCCAAAAATGTATTCCTTTGCAGGCAAGAATATCCATAAGATTGCTATGAAAGGAGTCAAACAATCTTTAGTACGAAAACATGTAACTCATAAAGCTTTTATGGAGACTTTGTTTGAGCAAACAAAATATATGTGCAGAATGAATTTGATTCGTTCAAAGAATCATAAACTAACAACTGCAAATTATACAAAAGTAGCTTTGCATAGTTTTGATTCGAAACGTTTTATTTTACCCGATGGAATTAGTACACTTGCTCACAATCATTTTTTGATTCCTACGTACAACAAGTAAAATATTTAAAATTAACAAGTACCAATTATTTATTTTAGTGAATTATTGTACAGTTTAAACATAACAATAAAATGATTACAATTACAAATATATAAATAATAAATAAATAAAATATGTACAGTTTAAGGTTTGAAAACTTTTGTTATTCCCTTAATTGGCATCTACAAATAGGACATAGGTCTTGGGTAGTAGAGCATGGAAAGCAGGAGCAAATGTGACAAACATGGAGTGAACATGTAATTAGCTTCTTCGAGTTTACACACCGAACACAGAAATGTTTCCATCAGGCTATGAAGGAGTGTAGAGTAGCATGTTCTTGATTTCACCATTCTCATCCTTTGACGAATTTATTTGTTTGCATAGACTCTGTAATAAAAAAAATAATAAAACAAAAAAATAATTATTTTGATAAAACTGAAAATATATAAGAGCATTACAAAATTACATTATATTTTTGGTAAGTATAACTTTGGTCTAAATCCTTCGATAAAATAGTCTGAAATTTAGGTTTGTGCAAAGAGAGGAATGGACAGTCACTTGAATGAATAGAGTGTTCAATCCAGGGATCATCACTTGGCAGCCAATTATGGATTATTATTCCACAATAATAACAAGAAAGCCGATCTCCATATCCAGTAGAGTAAAATCCTGCTTCACTAAAATTTTTGGGATTTTGCTTACATTTTCCGGTCCAGTTTTTGAATGTTGCTAAACGATCACTATTTAGACACATATCTTTGTTATCAATATCGTGTGGTTTATAGACCAGAGTTGAAAAGTTTCATCTTGGAGAACCATGTTTAGTATTTAAAATAAATACGGAAAACCTTATCTGATTAGAACTGAATCGCATGAGCTCTGACACTACAATGAACATATCACTAATATGTCGTACTACTTTAGCATAGTTTATTAAATTATTAAAACAATTTTTTACACAAACCAGACCTCAAAGTTAAGAAGGAATTTTTTTGTTGTTGTTGTTGTTCAAAAACGAATACCTCAGTCAAAAGCCATTCTATCATGTGGGAAACCATATGAAGTCTTCTGTCTTGATGTAACGTCCTTAGTGTTGCGAGGTCTTTGGGGAATTCCCGTTGGAGTACGATATGGGTCAAAGGTTTTATTCAGAGCATCATTTTGGTTTAACGGTTCCCATGCACTGAAGCTCGACAGCTTATGAGCACTGAGCGTAGCTGTTTGTTTTAGAGGAATAGAATCTAAGGTACCCATAAGATCATTTCTCACTACAGTTGAAAATAGAGCGGCAGGGACATTTAACATTTTCACACTCTCAGGAATCTGTTGATTCCGTTTGGGGATGTGGTCCATTTCAAATCTCTAATGGAGTAACTCATTAAATCCGAAATGTTAGAGTCAGGTTCAAACTCACTTCCCCAGAATTTTATATCTGTTCAGACAACGAGAATTTTTCAGGGGAACCAACTGGAGTAGACCTGTACTAGAAGGAGTTACAGGCGGGGGAGTTTCAAAGTGGAGGCAGATTACTTTTCCCAAGGATGTTTATCTTCACCGAAACCATTCTAACGGAAATAGGTTTATCTAAAATGTCTTTAACTGATTATTTACACGTTTCATTAAACTACTGTACAATTGGACTTTAATATCCTCCGGAATTAAGGATCCCAAAACTGATGTAGCTTCCTGATCCTTGTCCGTAAAAAAGTGAGTTTTAGCATGCTCCATTGTGTTGGTCTTTTTTAGAAGCTGGGAATACTCGTCTTCACTAACAACTCTCATTTTTTTCGACATTTTTATTTTTAT